AATATCCTGTTTCAACAGGAAATACGCGCTCTCAAACAGCTGTTGCATTGTGACTTAAAGACCTTTACTAGAGCTTCCACTTTGCCCCTCCTTGGCATTTCATACTGTTCTGTTGTTGGAACAGCATCAACATGAAGAAGCGCTGCGAGGAGAAGCTGTGTGTCCAGACTTGCTAGATTTTAGTGGAACAGATCAACCCACGGTCATAAATTATAATTGTGCTTGAGGAGTAGATCTACTAATGGATGCTACTGTTTGAGACAGTTGAGGTGTATGTCTTCATTTCGTATTGTTTTAAAACATGTTAAAACGTAATTTAAACCCAAATAACACTATTTTTGCAGCCATACACAAAGTCCTGGATTTGTTTATTTCATAAGCTTCAGTAAATAGTTGGAATAAGCTGATACAGAGTATTTGTGAAACTGTCAAAATAGTGTGAAATAAGATGATTTCAACAAACCTAAATCTATTTCAGAGGAAATAAAAGGGTTAAACTGGAAGTGAAGGGGTTAAATGGGTTTAAACCACTTTTTTTATCCTATAGAGGAAAGAAGTCAGTGTCTTTTCTTTTACATGCTTATAACATTTTATCTGAGTCATTATTTTGATATAACTGATATAAGGCTGGTGCTCGATTTATAAAATACTGAAATAGAAATTTGAATGTCCCTTATGTCCAGCAGTATTAAAAGGGAGAAGCGCCCTCCGTCCCCTGAAGATGACGATGTCATCATCTTGTCCGACAATGACTCCCCCAGTCCACCGATGAATGGCTTGAGTCACTTTAAGGATCTGGACACAGACCTGCTCATGGTGAGACTTCATGCATTTCATACTACTGTCCTACTGAGACAGATCCTGTTTAAATCATAACCTGGGTCCTTTAGGCTGTAAGCTTTTTTTAGGCATCTTAAATGTGACCGCGGCCGGTTGGTTCAGTTGGGACACACATGGACCAGCTGAGGCTGCAGCATTAAAACGTTTAAGTTAGTTCAAAGGGTTTGTGTCTTTCGTAACGTGAGTGATGCAAATGATGTTGTGATTGTGGAGTATAGAAGAGGAGCCCAGCGGAGAGGGAGCGTATCATTAAGCAGCTGAAGGAGGAGCTGAGACTGGAGGAGGCCAAGCTGGTGCTGCTGAAGAAACTTCGACAGAGCCAGATCCAGAGGGACACTCTCCAGAAGGTAAACAGTTATTAAACACAGCACAGGTTCCCACTTCAAGCATTCTGTTTGTTGATGAATGTCGTCCTCCATTTCTTTTTCAGCCCTCAAGTCTGTCCGGCTCCTCTGCTCCTCCTCCTCTAATCCGAGGAACAATTACAAGCAGTAAAGGCTCTCAGCAGGTTAATGCTCTTCTATCACTCAAACACAGCATATCAGTGTGACAGCCTCTTCATACTGTAGTTCATACTGTTTCTGTTTTCTCTGACCAGATTTTGACGGGAAGGAGTTCAGGCACGGTCATCCCTCCACCGCTGGTGAGAGGAGGGCAGCATGTGTCGTCCAAACATGGCTCCCAGATCATAATGCCTCCTCTGGTCAGAGGGGCACAGGTGAGGAAATGTTAACAATGCTATGAGCACGCTAAGATATTAAAATTGTATTTTGTCATATTTTTTTTTATAAATCTTGTGTTTGTCAGGGCAATAATAGCTTGAGTTGTTCCATCTTATTGCTGTTTTTCACTCTGAGACAAACTGCAGGGAAATAATTAGACTTAAACTTAGAACTTATGATCTCTCTTTGCACCTTTCTCTCTTTGTGTGTGCCCTTTGCTTTGGTGCTTTTGATGTCCCTCCCTTGTCCTCCACTACCTTTTTGTCTGTGATGTCCCTCCGTGTCATCCCTCTCATTGTCCTGGTTAGCCCATCTCTGTATCTCCACAGCAGATCCAGGCTCTCCGCCAGCAGCAGCAGCAGCAGCAGCAGCAGTTGGCTGCCTCTGGAGGCTCAGGACCCCCGCCGCTGCTGTTGGGCCCCAGGACCTCAGCCCCTGCAGGTCAGGGCCAGAGAGGCATGGTCCAGCCAGGCCTCATCAGAATTGGCAGTAGTGCTACCACGCTGGTCAGTATCTCACAGGCGCTTTCAAGTAAAGGAAAAAGAGAAACGGAGAATATGCGTAATGCAGGATGGAAGAAATAGTTAAATAGAAGTAGTATTTTTTAGTTTCCACATCTGACCTTAAACTTAAAAAGAAAAAGGAAACATCTGGAGATGACATCAAAAGACAGCAAAGACAGCGGGAAGCTCCAGGGTTCATACATCCGTTCAATTATATACACTTACGGGTGCATCGTTTCAGGTCATGACTGAATATGAATATTGTTGTACTAGCTAGTTATAGCTTAGTTAATAATTACTTGTCTAATTAGTTTATAATGTTACAGTGTGGGTTGAGCTGTTGACGAAAGGATTAAAGTGTTGACCTACAGGCACGAGCCAGCTATAGTGTATAATGTTACCCATAATCTAAGTGTCGTTAAAAACTGTTATTACGGTACCGGTGCTTGGAGACTCACATTACAGCAAGTCCTGTTGAATCTAATGTCATCCAATAAGTCCTAATTTCATATAATTTACATACTAAAAACTAAACAGAAAGTAGACTCAGATTCCATTATGCAATCCATAATTCCCTCATATTTGAACTTTCATAAACATTGAGAGGTTTGCTAAAAGTTTCTTCAGTCTTGTTCAGGAAGACCCTGACTATGGCCATGTGACATTTGAAACATAAAAACGAAAACTTGTGAGAAGATGACATGGCACCAGAAAACATTTTATTACAGATACACAATATGCTGGTTCATCAATTAGTGTTTATTTTAATTTTCCTGTACAGTAAAATCTGTAAAACTGTTATCTAAGAGTATATACTACCTAATGAAGGCCCATTTTAAGAGTTTTAAGATTACGTAATGCAAGTGTCATTCATGCAGGCACAAATGGCAAAAATGACTTGAAAATGAATTTTTAGAATATAGGTAATTTTATAAAATGAAGGAATAATAAACACATAAAACACACAAAAAAAACTACTTTGTGTACATGCTCATCTTCATGGCGGTTTTGACTTACATGCACACAATGGGCAACAGCGTCCTCTGCAGTCATAGATTTCGCTGTGGTTTTCATGAACGACAGCTCATTCAACTCCAGTCCATAAAAATATAAGTAGCTACGTCCAACGTTACTAGCAGGTCACTCGAGCAGGTGGTCTAGCTGCAGACTGTATCTTGCAGTTGTATGTCTGTGCATTAAAAATCCCAGACCAATTGAATGCTTTTTGCTGAAAATTACTGGAGGCTAATACTTCACTGTGACTTTTAAACAACCCCTAACAAACCCCTGTATGAAAACAAAACAAAAGTGGTCCATAGATATAAATGTATTACAACCTATAGTTAATAATCATACAGTAACCACCACATTCTGTGTGTGTGTGTGTAGCAGTATAATTCTGGTCTATAAGTGTTTTTCTCTGATATATGTAGATTTTTAATCGTCACAGAAGCTTAGAATAGGGCACCAACTGTCTGCTCAGTGTTCTTTGATCATTAAACACCTTGCAATTAATCAACCTACCTTCTGTATTGCTCAAGCAAGTCAAAGATATTCTGATCTTGACTGGATGTTTACACCTGTCTTGTTTCTTCCTGTCTCTGATTGTTTTTAAAGGCCTCGCCATCCAGTTTGAAGGGCTCTTCCTCAGGCAGCGGCTTGTCTGTGGTTAGCATGAACGACTCTCCAGCCAGCCGCCAAGCTGCAGCTAAACTCGCCCTGCGGAAACAACTGGAGAAGACCCTCCTGGAGATTCCTCCACCCAAGCCCCCAGCTCCGGAGTTTAACTTCCTGCCCTCTGCAGCCAATAATGAATTCATCTACCTGGTGGGACTGGAAGAAGTGGTACAGAATCTGCTGGATAGCATCCACAGAGGTTAGGCTTTTGTTTACATGTTGTAGAGATAATAGGATAAGTTTAAGGATTTAATTGATTTAAAAGAAAAGTAATTGGCAAAATAATTGGCATTAATCATTAAAGTAATTTTTCAAGTTAAAATTCCAAACATTTTCTAGTTCCTACATTAGCTTCTACATGATGAGGGTTTGCTGCTTTGTTTTGTTATATATGATGATAAACTGAATAGCATTAGGATTGGACTGCTGGTTGGACAAAACAAACCAGTTTGTATAATTTCCTTGCTAGCTTTAGTAAATGGTGATGGGCATTTTAGACCAAACAACTAGTCTACAATTGAGAAAACAAATAGGACACTTTTACCCAGGACTTAAATATTTGTAATTTCTTCTTTGACACCATAAAAGCACCTCTGTCTGTTTCAATCAATGCCTCCATCCTCTCCATCCAGGAAAGACAGGTGTAGCACTGTCCAAGACCACTGTCAGCGAACCCTTCATGTGCACCCAATGCAACACTGACTTCACCTGCCGCTGGAGGCAGGACAAGACAAAGGGCGGAGCAGTCCTCTGTGAACACTGCATGTCATCCAATCAGAAAAAGGCTTTGAAAGCTGAGCACACCAATAGGCTCAAAGGCGCGTTTGTCAAAGCACTGCAAGAAGAGCAGGAAATAGAGCAGCGTATTTTTCAGCAGACGTCCTCACCGGTCTCCCACAGTAGCTCCTCATCCTCGTCGTTGAAAGCAGAGCAGCTGGTGTCTCAGCAGCTGAAGCAGGCCCACGCCAGAGCGTCCTCCCTCCAGCACCACCACCAGGCCAGCCGAGGAGCCAACATTCTTCACCATCACTCCATCAAGCAGGTTGGAAGCCGCTTTTCTTTTTTTAAGGGTAACATTTGTGCAGTCGATGCAACTGTAACTCAAAACCGCTGTCTCTGTCCCTCCCCTCAGAGCTCCCAGGGTCAGCTGTCCCATGGTGTCTCATCATTGGGGTTAAGGGGCGTCCCCCATTCCTTCTCCTCCTCCTCCCAGCTGCAGAGTGCGGTGGCGGCCGCAGCTTTGGTCAGCCGGCCAGGTAAGCACGCCCATGTTTCCCACCGCTCTGTCCAGAGTTCAAAGGTGAGCAGCAGTGGAATCGTCGGCGGCAGGAATATCAGCGGAGGTAGTGCCTCATCCACTGCATGGAAGAAGCAGAGCAACAGCAACACAGGTAGACTCACATATAATATATGATACCGGCCCAACTCTGGCGCCTGACATCTCCTCTTTTTCAAATTCCTGTCTGGTCCAAAAGCAATCCTTGATCATCCTAGTGCCATCCTTTTTTCTGGTGTTAAGGAATCTTATACAAAAGCTGCATCTAGTGTTATCCCACGCACTAGAGGAAAAATAAATTACAGTTAAGAAACATACAGGAGGAAATGTTTTCGGACAAGGCAATCCCACTCTCCAGTTCTCTCCCTGCCAGTGATCTCAACCTTCCTACTTTAGTCCCTTCGTTTGGTGGTTCATCATTTTTTCCCTCGGTGTCGCTACTTTACCTTAGAGTAGTCATTTTTCCTTTGTGTCTGTCTGTGTGTTTTGGGGACACTGGTGGTTACATATTCAGGTGCTAACTTCTTTTTTTTTTTTTTTTTCTTATTCAACTCCAAAAGCATTATCCTTCCACACGCCACTTGCTCCAAGCCTTGACCTGCTGCTCTGTTGCATGTGTTCCACAGGAGTCACCATGGCCTACGTGAACCCCAGCCTGACGGGTCACAAGACGTCAGCCACCGTCGACGCTCGTCAGAGGGAGTACCTGCTGGACATGATCCCCTCTCGCTCATCGATCTCGCAGACGGCAAACCCATGGAAATAATTCAAACTGTACTCTACTATTCATTGTTAGTTTTTAAGTTTCCTCAGCTCCAATAATATGGCCAACAGCAACCCCCGGAGGACTGTCAAGCAAATGCAATCTCCTAAAGTGAAGAAATGATCCTTCCTTACCTTTTGTATGATTGTTGTTTTAGTTTTTTTATTTTCTGTTCTTTGGTAATTGTGCAGAAACCATTTTGATTTGAATACTTGAAGGGCTTCCCCCTGGGTACTTCTGTCCTCCAGACTGGGTGGTTAAATGATGGTGTGATAATGTGTCTGCATTGAGTGCTCTGATAAAAAATGAGTACTCAGTTCTGGGCTTATATGCTCTTTCTGCCATAATGTGGGTCAGTCTGATCCAACCTTTTTGACACTTGAATGGTTGTAGTCATACCCAAGAGTTCACATTCAACAAAATACACATTTATCTTAAGCAAAAGCAAAATAATTAAGTTGTACAAATTTTCACTCTATCACCCCTGTTGTTTAAGGTTTGAATTTATTTTGTATTTACAGTAAGTTATTTCGTTTTTTTGACTGTTGTTAAAAATCACTCAGTATATTGTGGTTTCCACAAATGAAGAGTTTATTCTAGCTTTGTTGTTTTTTCCCCTGTTTAACGGCATGCCTTCCCTTAACCCTTCTGTTCATTTTGCACCTTAGCTGAAGAAGCATGGTGTCGTTGCTTAATTCATCTGTAATTACCATCTGTAATTTGCTTATTTTATATTAATGTCAACATTGTAAGATTTTTTTTGAGTGTTATGTCATCGCTTAGAAAATGCAAACTCTGAAGGAGCTGAATTTGCCACACTGGAGCCAGAGTTCCTCTCTGATTTGTTCAACAATAATCTCTGCAATATGCAGCATATACTTAGCCCTGGATAAATTCTTGAAGGGAATATCTCCCAGCTACCGAGACCCTGGAATACACAAGACCATCACCATACCCCTCACCATATTGCATAATTTCTCTGCTTCCTGATCTTAACTGCATTGTACAAACTTATCATCAAATTTATTTGGTTTACTTTTTTCCTAGCTCCTAAAGAAATAATAAAAAAAATATACATTTTAAACACTTGTTTTTATTTATTAACTGTGGATCATATAAAACTAATATGATATTTCATCTATAAACAGAACTTAATGTGCTCTGACTCTCATATGATCAGGGAATGGATTGTTCAATCAATTCTCTGGCATTCACTAATCCAAGGTTAAGTAGAAACTGGAGGGGCAATAAGGATAATGGACATTTCAAAGAGCAAAAATGTAGCATAAAGGCTGATCTGGAAACTAGCAGTTGCTATGTGAGACAAAATCAGGAAAGACAGGTTGGTGAGATGACACTTTGTTAGGAAAGAATACTGAAGACTAACATACAAAACTACATATAACAGCCAGAAGGCAAACTGCCATCTGTGAGCCCTGCCCTCTGTACATTCAAGGATGAAAATCAATATAATAATAATTACTTAAGAAGGATTTTGGATGCGGGACTTTAACTTGTAATAACACAATATTATTACATTTGACAAAATGATAGTATATTTATATAATACAATGCCTTCCTCCAGTGACTTTAATAGTCCCACAATGGGGAAATTCCAATATTACACACAAAGTGGATAGAGAAAAATAATATATAAAGACAGGTAAAGATAACAGAGTATTAGATATAATATAAATAATTATAATATAAAACTGAACTAGAGAAAAAACAGTGAAAAACCACAACAGAATAACCAATAACACAAAATACTAGCAAGGTGCCCCAGGTTCACATGGGCAATAGACTGCACAGTAATTATTGTCCGTTTTATCAGTTTATCACCAGAACTAGGAAGTACACATTAAAACTAAAACACCAGCTAACTTATTATTCCACAACAGCTGGTGGGGTCCTTTGAAGTAACCTGTACCGTCATCCGGCCAGGTGGGGGCGGTAGAGCGTCACAGGGAGCTTTTATTATCCGCACGAGAGAGGGGAAGCTCTGCGTGCAGTGGAGGCAGGAGGAAGAAGAAGAGGAAGATGGCGGGGTCCAAGGTGAAGCAGGACATGCCTCCTCCGGGAGGCTATGCTTCGTTTGATTTTAAGAGAAACCTACCGAAACGAGGACTCTCGGGTACTTCCATTACACACTCAGTTATCGATCCGTACGGGTCCACACACAGCCGGTACAGGCGCGGCTTGAAGGACATTGGTGGTCAATAAACAGCGGCTAATGCTAACGGGTCGGGTAATCTACTGACACTTCATTTAAAGTAGTTTGAGGCTCGCACATAGATGACTGACATATAGAGGAACGACGTATGTGTCTTTTTTTGAGAAAATGAAGTGACTAAACCAACATTGTGTGCCAGTTGTCGATGTTTGTAGTGGCGATAGCTTCTTGCTAACTGGCTAACACACTTTTAAATGGGAAATGAGCTTTAGAGTTTTTTATTTATTGCAGGTCATTGCAGCCACCTTAACTTAGCATAGGCATTAGTTTCTGTGTGGAAAGCATCAGAGCAGTGTTTAAACTCCTGCCTGGAACTGTTGTTGCCCTCATTGACCCATCAGATTGTGTGCTAGACAAAAGTGAACTCCTGGTGAACAACTTAATATTTTATACTGATACTTTACATTTGCCTACAGTGTGGACATTGAGAGCACACAGGTACAGATTCTGTCAACAGTTCTGAGTCACATTTGAGCAAAAAATTAATAAATCAGATTTGGGCCACAGCCTTAGATTTGTGGAAGAGTTGTGAAAGTATTAGATTATTTGAGCATGCAAGTATGTATGTATGTAACTACATTTGAGGCAGCAATATGGCTTCTCACTCTTGTAAAGATCCAAGCTGCTCACACTCACACTGCAGCCTACAACCCCTGAACGCATACTCAAAATGAGACATCTGAGCCATAGAGCTGACCTGTTGTCCTTTGGTGAACTTTTAAATTTGAAGAAAATAAATAAGTAAAAGTCACCATAATGTCCAGATGTGTCCTCTTGCAGCTCGCTAGTCAAAAATGGTTTGCAAGCAACCTTTTGCAATCTCAAGACCTAATGAGAGGATAAAACAGCTGTAGGAATCTGGCAGCTGTAACAGTTGCTGCTACCAAACAAAGGTTGTGAGCTGGTGCTACTGTAAGTTAATCATATCACATACACACAACGACAATTATATTCACATATGAAACTAAAATTTATTTTGGCCTGTAACCAATTTGACAAAAACAAAATGGACAAAGACATCGAAATATGCAATGACATCCAACAAAGCAACACAGTAGAAACTGGGGATGTCACAATGGTATTTTTTTGAAAGTAAAGCACTTCCTCTGGTCCAGCAGGTTCTGGCAATAGGAATGAACTCGTTTTCTGATGGATGTGTATTTGAGGTTAACTGTGAGACAAAGGTTTCTACGTTTGGTGCTGCCGTTTTAACATTGTGCACATAAACCAGTTTGATCAGTTGTCACTATCTCAGTTCCTCGTGATGATCTGTTCTTAAACACACAGGTTACTAGAGGTTAATTCTTCCATCTTTGCAACATCATGTTCAATAACGTGTTCTTTTCTGGGTCAGTGATGTCTAAATAGATTCATTTTGAAACGTGGGTAATATTGTGGTTGGGATATAACATTAAATCATCTGTGGAGATACAAAGTTGCCTTAAAGTGTCACTAATTAATTCTTTAATCAACAGGGTATAGTATGTTCGGCATCGGCATCGGCATCATGATGTTTGGTTACTGGAGGCTTTTTAAGTGGAACAGAGAGAGGAGGTAGGATAATTCTTGTAATTATGCTTTGGGTGTAAATATTTGTGACTGTATAATATTTCACAACCAGGCTGGTCGATGATAGCAGGTGTGTTTGTGCATTGCAGGCGTTTGCAGATTGAAGACATGGAAGCCAGGATAGCCCTGATGCCCCTGCTGCAGGCGGAGGAAGACCGAAGGTGACAAAAAAATATATTGCGTATATTATATTACATTACATATAAATAAATAAAAATGTGTTGTTTTTAAATCTGATACGCACTCAGGGTAGCGCTTTTTTTAACGGTTATATTTCCCCTCTGACCAGGGTGCTACGGATGATGAAAGAAAATTTAGAGGAAGAAGCTGTTCTCATGAAGAATGTTCCAGGTTGGAAGGTAAATAGAAATGTTGTGATTTGTCTTCATTGGGACCACACTGTTAACAGATTACATCATGTACTTGCTGTGATTAAATTCTGGTATCGGCCTGCTTATTGCTTAGATGTATGTCTGAAAACTAAAAGGTAATTAAGTAGTCTGTTTTTAAACACTATTTTTAAGATAAGATGTACCTTTATTGATCCCGCGTAGGATAAATTCAAATTAGACACAGCAGCATTGGGGAATGAAGTACAACAAGGATCACACAATAAGAATATTACAAAATATAAAACTATAAATGAAAAATATATACATTATATGCAATATGCAGTACAATGGTGTGCAAAATATTTTAAGCAGCTTTTGACTAAAAAACTAAACTGTACATGTGCAACATAAAGGTAATAGTTTGTGTCGTAGGTTGAAGTTGAACCAGTCGTCAGTGGGGGTGGGAGGTACAATATTATCTTTGTATTTTAGATATTTTTAGCAATATTTCATATTTTATGTATATTTAGAAAGATATTTAGGCTTTTAAAAACTCTTGTTTTTGATTCACACTTGATACATTTAATTATCTATATTTGTTACCACAATAAATGTCACTGATCACTAAATCGACAGTTGATTTACTGTTAGTCTGCTCTTTTTGATCAAATGGTGAATTGTTGGCATGACTAAGTAGTAGGTTTGGTAGTTGCACACACAAAACCATATTATTTTAATGTTTTCCTACTAAACTGAAATAATTATTAGAAACAAAATTGTAAAGATAACATATTTAATGTGTGATTGCCAAGAACCACTTATGGAAGAGTGAAGTTTCCAATGACCTATCATCGTGTTGATGATAATACTAAGCTTCGTTGGTATAGAATTATTGTACATTGCAGCCATTCATCTTAGTTTATCAGTTAATATTAGCATCAGATATAAAAAAAAAAACAGGATTTAGCTGATAGAAAAAAAGGAAGTTGTTAAAGGATAACAACTACAGTAACTACTGTTATTTTGTGCTCCTGTTTCTTTTTTCTCCTACATATCGGAGCTGCCTGGCATTTTGAAATGTAGATAATACATGCAGTCTATCTTTATGGTATCAGTAAACATCTTAACTCGCAGTATTTTTTTTTGTGAGAAAGAAGAGTACCAATCTATGGTGACAAATTCATCAGACCCAGTTACTGGTTAATGCCAGTGTTTCTGTATTTATGCCAACTGTGTCTCTAACACTTGTGCAGGTTGGTGAGAGCGTCTTTCACACAGATCGCTGGGTCGCCCCTACATCAGTGGAGCTGTACAACCTCCGGCCCCGCGAGGAGTTTTTGCACAAGCAGTACGGCTTCTTGTGGTACGTGTAAGCGCCACCAAGACAATGTCCTGAGCTTCACCACCTTCCACAGGCAGAACCACGTGGACCTGAGCCCTCGCTCAATTCAGCTTGTAAATGTTCGATATTAAAGTAACCTTTTTTCCTGTACCTCATCCTGGTTTACCTGTTATTTGTTTCAGTTTTGGTTGCATTACACACATCATGTACCTTGTTATTTGAAAAACACCACTTCATTTGAGAGGCAAATGTTGTATTTAACTACATTTAACTATCAGTTATGTTCACTAGTTCCTTTAAGGTACATTACAGGAAGCATATTAAGCTGACAAGGTATACCATACATACATTAAGTACTTCAAATAAGCTCCTAGAGGGAGCAGCAACATTAAAATACTGCTTACACACTCTGATGAAAGAACTAGTGTTTGACCTGTGACATTCTGTTCAATTGAAAAATTAACGCTTTTCCTTACCACTAACGTGAACAAAAGAACTTTGTTACATTCAAGACAAACTGATTTTCAACTTTAGTATCCCTGTGTTTTTCAATGCATTGTCCCAATTTACTCCCACCCTTACATCAACTACACAACTCACTAGTCCAC